CAGCATGACTAATCACTCCCCATTTTTCCTGAATTATGGAATGGACCCAACAGTTCCTACAGCAACTTCTCTCGACAACCCAGTCCCGAGGTCACAAACTTTTGTGACGGAACTTCAAGAAGCCCAAGAAAAAGCTGCAGACGCAATTCGCAAGGCGAATATAACTTCCCGAAAATACACCGACCTTCTACGCCAGGAACTCGTCTTGACCACTAGGCAACTAGTACTACTTGACACGAAAAACCTGCACTTGTCCGGCCCATCGAAACTACGGCCACGATTTTGTGGGCCATTCAAGATATTATAGTTTTTAAACACATTGGTGTTTTTCAAAATTGTGTATTGTGAAAGTGAAGTTGCCTGTACCGAATATTTGGCATCGTCGAAGCGCGCTAAACCCTTCTCCAACTACAAAAACTGTGGGTTGGAGTTCATTCCCTCCACCCACGTTTCTCGTTTTCCAACGGCTCAATCAACATGAGAATGATGCCAAATTATAAGGACAACAAAGCAAGCTTTCTCAATTATCAAGATGGTGACACCTGTCACTGCGAAGCTACTGCTACCCGACGACTGGCGCATTCATGACGCCTTCCACGTCAGCCTGCTTCGAAAGTTCGTGCCAGCCACAACCGACATCGCGCGGCAAATGTCAGAAGTCTAGGCAGGAATGAATGCACTAGGAAAGTGTTAGGTACAAGTATGAAACCCTAAAAGGGGCTGTACCCCATATTGGCTACACCACTACAGCCTAACAATATATATCATGCATATAATTTGACACACCCCCATAGGCAAAGTGGGGGAGAGCAAGGGGTCACAAGACCAGTCACGAGAAGAAAAGCAAGCTCAGGGTGGATCACAACGTCACCACACACACTGAGCACAAGCAAAGGGCCACAAGGCCAGTTCACATGCAGAGGTATATATGCAACAACAACAGCACAGTGATCTCTACCTACCAGGAGCAATCATGCAGGTATATATATATAGATCACAGTACAGGCAAAGTCTACAACAAGTGAGGAAACGTAGGCACATGACCCAACAAAGTATAGAAGCGCTGATGATCACCAGGCGGAAGTGCCTTGGTGAATATATCAGCAGTGTTGGCCTGAGTGGCCACGTGAGCAAGACGAAGCTGACCACGCTGCTGCAACTCTCGAGCAAGGAAGTAACGCAGAGCGATGTGCTTCGTTCTGTGCTCTAGTCTGTTCTCCTGAGACAAGGCAATGGCGGCCTTGTTGTCTACGTACAGCACTGGACGAGAACGAGGCCGCTCTCCCAAGTCGGTCAGCAGGTAGGTAAGCCAGCGTAACTCCTGTGCAGCCATGGCTGTGGCGTAGATCTCAGCCTCGCAACTGGAGCTGAGAACATAGGAAGAGCGTGTAGACCGCCAAGAAACCGAGCCAGAGCCAAGGCTGAAGGTGTAACCCTGTGACGACCGCTGCGTAGCCAAGTCGTCAACCCAAGAAGCGTCTGAGTGACCAGTGAGGACAACGTCGCCCCGTCCTCCGAGCACGAGCCCCATGCCCGATGTACTGCACAAGTAGCGTAGTACCCTCTTGGCAGCATCCATGTGCATCTTTCGGTGCCGACCAGGAGCCACGTAACGAGCCAGAAGGCCAAGAGGGTACGCAAGGTCAGGACGAGTGTAGGTCATCAGGTACATGAGGCAGCCCACTAGCTCTGGGTAAGGACCACTCGGCTCTACGGACTCGTCCGAAGGTGGAGCTGAGAGCGAGTGACCTGTAGCCAGAGGAGTGGCCTGTGCCGAGGACCAGGTGAAGCCGAAGCGCTGAAGGACCTGCTGCACCATGTGTGACTGAGTCAGTGTGATGGTGCGGCGTGCTCTGTCCTGGGTGATCTGCAAGCAGTTGCGTAGCTCACCCAGGTCTGTGCACGTGTGTCTCTTCTGCAGCTCCGACTTCACCAGGGCGGAGCCTCAGTGTCAGCAGTGGCAAAGACCAAGTCGTCGACGTACACGAGGATGTAGAACGGCGGCAGCGAAGTGTCGGTGCGCAGAAACAGCGACGGGTCAGCAGTCGACGGAGCAAACCCAAGAGCCGCAAGTGTAGTCCTCAGTGTGTCGTGCCACTCACGCGGCGCCTAGCGGAGACCGTAGACTGGCCGCCGGAGGCTCCACTGGGTACCAGGAGGGAACGACCCAGTGAAGCCAGGTGGGCGGCGCAGCCAGATCTCCTCGTGCAGGCTGCCCTGTAAGAAGGCTGTTCTGAAGTCAAGAGAGTGAAGCTCGTAGTCACGCTGAGCGGCAACGTGCAGCAGCATCCGAAGAGTGGTCATCTTAAGGGTGGGGGAGAAGGGCTGGAAGAAGTCGACTCCCTCCTGCTGACTGAAGCCTCGAGCAACGTAACGGGCCTTGAAGACAGGCGGAGAACCTGGCGGCCGCTTCACCCTGAAAATCCACATGGCATCAACGATGTTCGCCCCAGGAGTGGGAACCTCGTCAACGTAAGTGCCTGTGGACTTCCACGATGCCATCTCTGCGTCCATGGCTGTCTGCCACTGAGAGGAGTAGGGACCCGCGATCGCCTCAGCGTAAGAACGCGGAGTCGGGATGTTTGGTGCATCCGGGTCTCCCTCAGGGGCAAGCAGCATGGACACGAGATGTGGCGCGGCGGCTGCAAGACACTCAAGGTCCTCCTGCCTGTCCTCAAAGACTTTCGTGCTAAGTGCACACTCACCCCCGACGGACGGAGGACAGACAGACTCAGACTCAGCAACAAGACTAGCGGCGTAGTCTAGACGACAGGCATCAGCAAAGACAAGCTCAGCAACTAAGGCAGACGCAGCAGCAGACTCAAACGACGGGTCAGTGACAACTGTGGCCAGCAAACGCGTGACAGTAGGGTGAGCAGCACGAGCGCGGTTAGACTCCGGCTCCGAAACGTCAGGTAGAGAAGACGCAGGAGGGGACGGCAGGGGAACACGTTGTGGAGCAGAGGAAGGACGCAGGGCCATGAGGTGTGTGCCGGGGACAGCCGGCGGATGCTCACGAGGAACACGACGACCAATACTACCAGTGCGAACAGGCGAGACAGGACGAGACGCAGGCTCACGACGCTCAGCAAGACCGCCTGTCAGCTCAGTCTAAGGAGAAGGAGCAGGCAGCGGTGAGCCAGGCTGTAACGGAAGACCAGTAGACGACGGGAGGCTAAGAACCTGGCGAAGCGCGGAGTCAGGCGGTGGCAGAGACGACGGAGACGGCGAAGCAAAGAACAGTCGTGGCCGCGCAGCACCACCAGTACCAGCAGCTCCAGCACCACCAGCAGCTCTAGCACCTCCAGCAGCTCCAGAACCTCCAGCTCCAGCTCCTCGAGCGCTAGCACCACCAGCAGTCCCAGAACCTCCAGCGCCAGCACCTCCAGCACCAGTGTCACCAGCAGCTCTAGAACCTCCAGCGCCAGCACCTCCAGTACGAGCGTCACCAACAGCAGCACCCCCAGAACCGGCACCTCCAGCCCCAAGGTCTCCAGCAGCGACACCCCCAGACTCAGCACCGCCAGCCCCAGCAGCTCCAGTACGTCCAGTACGAGCACCTTCGGAACCAGCGACTCCACCACCTCCTGTAGACAAAGTACCAGCACCACTCCCAGCTGTAGAGCCCCGAGCTCCAGCAGCGCGACCCTGACGGCTAGCGTACCACTCGTGCAGCTGCCGAGGGGAGAGAGGCGCACGCTGACGAAGGCGGCCTCTCCAAGGAGACCGCGCACCAGCAGGCTCCGTACCCTTAGGCGCCGCATCCCCAGACTCTGCACCCGAAGGCTCCTCACGCTCAGGCTCAGTACCCATATTGGCTACCCCACTACAGCCTAACAATATATATCATGCATATAATTTGACAGCAACAAGCTGCACCAACTGCACGCCCTGTCCCGGAGCCGACTCTTGATCCTTCGAAGATTTTGGCACATCGTGTTCGACTTGACGCAGCTGGTCGCCACGTAGATTTCCTAGTCCGTTTGACTGATCGCAACAGTGAAGACGACACGTGGGTACACTCCGTCTCGCTGACCGCCTCGTCATTTGTTGGTGATTACTTGGGGTAGTGTAAGGAATTTTCCCGAATTCCTTATCGGGGTTGACTGCTTCGCGTACAGCCCGATTTTCGGACTTTGCACGTTCGGCCGATTTCAACGCTGCCGAGGCTCCTCGCGTCGCCTTCGGCATTTTCCCATCGCCAAACCTGCACCCAACCTCGCTCGTTCGAGGTTCCCTCCTAGCTAGGCTAGTCCCTACATTAGTCTGTGCTTCGTTGTATTCTCAGATCAGTTAATCACAGTCTCGTTATTCGTTTACCTGCGCACTCTCTTTTAAAACGCATAACAGACATCAACAGCCGTAACTGAGCGCATAAATTGATGGCCGGGCGAATATAAATCCGTATTGTAACCAGGAGAAGGGTCTTCGTGACTTGTGATGATGATCTCGGAGGACAGAGCTCAGGGAGCATACGAGCTTTGCACTTCAACCCCATTTCTCCACCTGGCACGCTCTCAACCCACTCGATAACTTCATGGCTGCGACTCGCCTTTCTGTCACTCCGTGCTGTGAACTCCGGAGTCGCTATATGGAGAAAATTTGGCAGTCGTTAAGAGCCGCGACATTGCAAGTTCCATCGAGAATGCGCGATGTGAGCAACGAAGAGGTTCCCTGTTGCTCTCCGATCCATCCACGATCGACACTCACCTACGAGGCAGTCAGCTTCAAGCAGCCGAATTCCCGACCAAATGCGCTTCAGTTCAGTCTTGTGCACCCGCCTCTCCCAGGCCGGGTTTTTGTCAAAACTTGTGCCATCCGGCTCCTTGTCCTCCGCACAACGACCAACGCTGAAACCCACCTTCTTCCAGTTCAACTACTTGAGTTCTCTACTAACGGGACGGTCAGATTACGCCAGCTCTCGGCGCTTGCTTACTAGATTCATTCCTTCCCGCCTGAATTGCTCCCTCGCAATGCCTGTGCTGGATCGTCTTCCCAAGATGCTCGACTCATGCGAGTTGGCGTTGACGGGTGACGAGCTCACCTCGTTCGGACACTCCATCCTCACTGACGTGCCTGAGAACGTGACTGTCACACCCATGGATGGACCCGTCGGCTGCTCCGGCGTTTTTCTCGGAGCTCGTTTTGACTCCGCTAAGAGTCGCCACGTTTTTCCAATTGGAACTCTCAGGTTGGAGCAAGCGTTTGTGTCAATAGTTCTCGTGGATCTGCCGCAGCTACTCATATCGTCTTTTCCTAATCTGTGCAGAAACCTTCGGTTTTTGTGCTGCCACCGCTTCAAGCTGTGGTGGATGACTCAGCGAGTTGGCAGTAACGGAAAAGAAGTGCCTAACGAGACACAGTTTTTGCTCTTGGAGACAGATCGTGACAGTCAATCTTCGATTGAGCCAGTTTACGTTGTGATGCTCCCTCTCGTTGATGGATCTTTTCGAGCAGCCATTCAGGGCTCATCCGATGATATGCTTGAAATCTGCTCAGAGAGCGGTAAGTCTAAAACGTTATGGTTAGTGTGCTGGTACTGGGCCTTAGTGTTGTCCCTGACGTACTTGTATGACTGCAATCACAGGAGATCCAGATGTACGAACCTTCGAAAGCACGAAGGCTGTTTTTGTAAACGCGGGCAGGAATCCCTACAAGCTACTGAATGAGTCCATAAGGTTTGTCGTTCAGATGGGGTCCTCCTTTTTTTCCTCGCTTCAACGAAGGCGCTCATAAGGTGGAAATTTCTCGTGTTTATGCAGGTCTCTTGAGAAGCACTCAGGAAACTTCCAGCACAGGGAGAAGAAGACTGTAAGTATTCTTTGTAGCTTTTTTTCTCTGTATCCTACTTCTGTAGTGAATCGCACGTTGTTCTGTGTGTTTTTTCAGCTCCCGGGATTTGTTGACTACTTCGGATGGTGCACGTGGGATGCCTTCTACACTGACGTTGATGAAGATGGAATTCGCAAGGGCCTGTCCAGGTGAGCAGAAGCACAGCAACCGGTCCTGCTGTGTAGGTCTCATCGTTAACAAATATCTACATGACCGTTCCACGTTCTCGCTGTTTACAGCCTTGCAGAGGGAGGAGTACCAGCAAAGTTCCTGATTATTGATGATGGTTGGCAAGCGGTTGCTGCTGATTTTCACGCAAAGGCGACTCTGACCCCTGAAACACAGTAAGTTTGTCACGTTTTCTTGACCAAAATATTTTATGTTCCTGGTCGATTCTAACAGGGCTTTCTTGTTTATAATATGCAGGCATTTCAGCCGGCTTGTGGATATCAAACCCAACGAGAAGTTCAACTGTGACAATGAACAGGAGGCTTGTGCGGACGGCCGTGGAAATCTGACAGAGCTGGTTACTTCAGCAAAGGACGATTATGGCCTGAAGTGAGCTAACTATCTGCACCCAGCCATGGGTGGTGTAATAAATTGTTGTTGACTGTTCCGAATAACGGTGTGCAGATACGTCTACGTCTGGCATGCTCTCATGGGATATTGGGGAGGCATCAACCCAACTGCTGCTTCCACGCAGAAGTTTCTGGTGACTCTCATATACCCTCACTTTTCCCCTTCTGTCATGGACAAGCCTGACACTGTGCTGGACCTGATAACCAAGCATGGTTTAGGGGTAATTGGCCCATCCAAGATTCACGAGTTTTATGATGAGATGCACAGCTACCTGGCATCATGCGGCGTGGATGGGGTGAAGGTGGATGTTCAGAGTATGTTGGAGCTGGTTGGTGGAGGACATGGAGGAAGGGTCGAAATAGCGAGGGCATACCACACAGCTTTGGAGGCATCAGTGACCAAGAATTTCAAGGAAAATGGTGTAATTGCATGCATGAGCCATAACACTGATAGCATTTACATGTGAGTGGGCTCTCGTTTGCTGCACCTTGTGCTGTTGCCAGACTTGAATTACATTTACCCTCTTGCTCCTGAGCTTGCAGGACTCAGCGGACAGCAGTAGTCCGAGCTTCTGACGATTTTTGGCCTAACGACCCTGCATCTCACACAATTCACCTGCTTGCGGTAAGGATTTGTACTAGAATGTCATCTCTTTATCAGTGTACTAGCTTCTGTTCTGAGTATCATGGACATGGGTTTGAAATTGCAGGTGGCATACAACAGCATGTTTTTGGGGGAGTTTATGCAGCCCGATTGGGACATGTTTCACGTGAGTAGTATGCATTCTGTTTTCTTCTTCTGTATCTCCTCAGCAACCAGTTTTTAGTAACAACTGACCTTTCTGTGTGTCCTCCTCGCAGTCTCTCCACCCAGCAGCTGAGTTTCATGCTGCTGCAAGAGCTGTTGGAGGCTGCCCTGTCTATGTGAGGTAAGCATTTTGCATACATCTCTAGCGATTCAGCAAGGTCTGTGAGTTGGTGTCATGAATCGTTATGGTCGTTGCCAGGTAACTGATCCCAGTTTTGTGACTGATTCATTCGAGTCTGTTGTGCTCTCAATGCAGTGACAAGCCTGGCCAGCACAACTTTGAGGTGTTGAGAAAGTTGGTCCTCCACGATGGGTCCATTCTTCGAGCCAGGCTCCCTGGGCGACCCACCAGGGATTGCCTGTTTGTGGACACAGCACGAGATGGTCGAAGGTAAGAGCGAGCACTACTACCTATTTTCCCCCTTCCTCTCCCCTTCCCCCACCCCAACCCTCCACCCTCTTCCTTCCCTGAATTGATGGGGGGGGGGGGGGGGGGGCACAAGTTTGTTACTACTACACACCAGTTTCTTGTGTTAATGTTCACCTCTCGTTTGTTTCAGTTTGCTAAAAGTCTGGAACATCAACGCTTGCAATGGAGTCCTTGGAGCTTTCAATTGCCAGGTATTAAGGGCTCAACCTGACTGCGGTCCTTATAACAACTGACTACTGTGTTCTTAGCGAATAACCCTCCATGGAATCGGCTGCAGGGCGCGGCCTGGTGCAAAGACTCACGCAAGTACAAGTTTCATGATTCCGAGTCCAAGGAGCTTGCGGGAACCATCTGCGCTGCCGACATAGAAGGGCTGGAGCAACTCACTGGGCCTGACTGGGAAGGAGACGTTGCAATTTACTCCCACAACTCAGGTGCCACTCCTGTCTAACTTATGGAGGGTTACGTAGTGCTGACTTCACATGTGTACGACAACTGACTGGTTTTCTGCCTGTCACAGGAGAGCTTGTTGATCTTCCTTTGGGAGCATCCCTCGCCACCATGCTCAAGCGACTGGAATTTGAAATCTTCACAGTGTCTCCCATCCAGGTAGGGTTGTTGCAGATAATCAGGGCTCATCTGATGCTAGAAAGCAACTGTGTCCACGGTTTCTCAACACGTCTGCTTCATGCCTCCATCCCTTGTTGCAGAGGGCTGGGCATGTCAAGTGTGCTCCTATTGGTCTGGCTGATATGTACAACAGTGGTGGAGCCGTGTTGTCCACATCCACACACCAGAAGAACTTTCCAGCTTCCACCACCGCTCTCCACTGGATGAGCACTTGTGTCAAGGGCAGTGGCAGGTTCATTGCCTACGCTTCAACTGTTCCGGCCGAGTGTTTTGTTGATGGGGGAAAGACTCAGTTTACCTATGATCAGACAAGTGGACAGGTTGAGTTGGAGCTCCCGTGGAGTGCTAAAGGTAACCAGGTTGACTTGCTGTGGCAGTGAGGGTCTGCCATCATCATCAATGTGTTGTTCATCCCTTTCTTCAATCAATATCGTATCATTCACGTTTACTTTTTCAGGAGCAGAAAAATATACGGTAGATGAATGAATGAATCAACTAATCTGGTTGTACAATGCCCTATGGAGCTAACTGACGCTTCACATAGAACGGGGACTACTCCTAGGACCCTAAGCCCTGTGACATCCTCTGGAACCCCGGAGGAGCAAACTTCAGTCTGCTGGAGGGGAAAAAGACAGTGCCTATTCTACTCAAGACTTCTCAGGTGATGTTGTACCATAGGTACTCCTTTTCTACCAAACCTCAGTACGCTGAGGTTTACTCCAGACAAAGCTCGTCTGGGGCCCCTCTTTCCCTGGCAGCAGCTGTTCCTCTGACGAGTCCACCGTGTTCACAGCCTGCCAACCCGCCATTTGCCGGAACCACCCAGTCACCTCCCACGCACCCGCGGCTTTCCCTCCTGCTGCAGGTGAGGTGTCTATATCGTCCTCAAGGCTCCGCCATGCGGCCATTTCCACCTGATGCGGCTGCTCCTGGGGTGCTCTCGCAGCCGCGCTAGCCCAGGCTGCTACATCCACGGCGCCAGATACCACCTGCCTTGCCTGCAGCGTCACCGTCGGCGTAGCCGGCACTGGCAACGGCGCTGGCACAAAATCCGCCGCCGGCGCTGCGGCTTGCTTGAAGGCTTCGCCGCCGGCGCTGACAATTGTGGCGCAGGGCGCGGAGGATGCGGGGGCGGGGGAAGGGAGGCGGACGATGCGGTCGGTGGTTGCGGAAGCGAGGAACTGGCTCATCACGCTCGGACTAAGCATCGTGGGGGAAGCGAGCGGGACCGTGGGCGCAAGAGGAATGACTAGGCGTTTGGGGGGAGCGATGGGGGCGGATTGAGGCGCGCGAACTGGCGTAGCGACCCCGTTGCTGCTGCGAATTACGTGCACGGGACGGTAACCGCCTTTCGTCGCCCCATGCGACGATGACGTCGACGACGACGACGAAGGAGGTGCTTTTGTCTCAGAACTATCAGCGCTTGCGGCGCTGCCGGCGCTGCTGCTGCCCCAGCTGAAACTGTCGCTGCCGCAGTCGCTTGCGGCGTCACCGGTGCTTGCGACGCTGCCTGCGACGCTGCTCGCTGCTGCGGCATAGAGGCCCTGAAGGTCGGGAATTGGAATATCCGGCATGTCCTCGTCGTGTAGTGATCCGAACCCACCAAAAGAGACAGGTAGAGGGCTCGACGGCTCGCTGGCATCGGGGGAGAAAGGGCCCGCGCATCGGGGAAACGTCGGCGAGTCGACCATTTCCGCTAGCGGGGGGTTGATGCATATGGGCGGAATGCGCAGGTGCCGGGGAGTTGTGCGCATCAAGGAATCCCCCATGGGAACGAGCTGAGGGAGGGGCTGCGCGGAGGCGGAAGAGGCGCAGGGTTCACAGGAGGCGGAGGAGGAGGGAACGGCGGAGAAGGAGGTGGATTCGGTGGCAGGGAGAAAGCGGTGAAGATTTTCCGCCACGAGAATCATTGTGAATTGTGTTTATATCCAATCAAAGGGGCGGGAGGGAGACTGTCGTACGGCGACGGAGAGCTGTAATCAAAGGTTCGTCGAGGTGGCGTGAAGAGAGACCGATCAATTTGCTAGTTGTAAAGCAGCGCCACGAAAAGGCTACGAATAAGCGGCAGAAGGTACTACAACGAGACGCCTAAGTTACGATCGAGTGGTTCGCGTCAGGCTATCTGTAGTTAACAATTCAGCTATTTCTTACGGTGAGTAAACACGGGTCTAGCTAGAAGTGAAAGAAGACGAGGAAGGCGTGGGTGCGCAAATTAATATCGGAAGGGCTACTTTGCTCCTTGCGATGCACGTCAAGTCCGAAAAGGGAGAACAAGAGGGCTTCGGTGTACACAGCACACCCCAGAAATAATCGGCACGAGCAGGAGAAATGGCAGAAGAGAGGGGAGCATGAAGGGACTGTGGCAGGCAAGCCCCGAACTGCTTCACTTGAAGGAAATGGGGGGATTGATCGCCTGGTTTGCTCGTGTACAGTGTACACTCACTCGTGCGAGCTCGAACTTACCACTTCCGTTCAGAAATGCTGGTCCCCTTGCCTTCGCGGTGCTGTTCCGGAGGAACGTAATCCTACGACTCTACAGTAAACAACAGAACAGTACACGTCAGCTGACTCAGTTCGGTTCTCTGGTGGGTGTGGGGTGTGTGGGGTGGAGCGCCGCCAACGAAGATCTGCCAGGTTTCTGCGGGTGTATTGAGAGGCTTGGCTCGCACTGGATTGGTTTGGGAAAGGTACAGTGCAGGGGTGATTTGGGGAGGAAGGGCGGGGAGGGGGTTTCAAATTCCGAACGTCCTGGTTTCGGCGCCCAGGCACCAGGCGTGTCGTGAGCGAAGTCCTTCCTCCCCCAAACACATCGACGCTCAGGGTGCTGTGCATCCGCATTGCACACAGGGCTGACGATTCAAGGGCAAATGCCCTTAATTCCCTGAACATTAAGGGTTGGGTTCGGCCCAGCTTCCGAAGTTTAAGGGCTGGCTTTGAGGGCAGCCCTTTCCCGCAAAGTTCTGGTTGTGGGCCTAACCCGGATTTTAAGTGCAGTTCCCGCGGCTAGCCCTTATCGTCCCATACTAATACCTCCCTCCCTCCCAATCGCTCACCAGTCCCCCCACCTCCTCCCAGCCACTCCCCTACTTCCTTTTCCCATCCCCGTCAAATCCATCGACATGTTTCGAACCTCAGACTTTTGCCTAGCTGGCTCTTAGTAGTTTGCCTAGGATACGGACCCGAAGAGATGTAGGTTTTCCTTAGCGAAAGTGCAGAAAAGTTGGTAGCCCTGATTTCAAGTGCCAGGTTTGCTCTCAGCCCGTAAATTTCAGGGCAACTTTTGGGGCACCTCAGCCTCTCAAGTTCTGGCTCCAAACCAATCGACAGCCCTGATTGCACACACACCGTCCCTTCCACATCCATTTCCACCCAAACCGAACCAAGCCCTCCTCTTGCGAGGAAGAGGGACAAGTTGATGATGACGTGCGATCAGGTTGGCAACAAGGCCAATCGACGTCGAGCCAGCATTTTGCCGCCAGAGCCGAAGGAGCCGCCCATCAGCCCTCCACGGCCTATGCGCAGCGCCAACGAGGGAGAACCACAGCCAAGCTAAACTTGCTTGTTCAGATGCCACAGCATGGCAAAGGCCACTGTATGAACGTCGAGGAACGTTCCTGATCAAGCATCCTCGAAAAGGTGAATGGCGTGGGTGAATGCTTGTGAGTGGGGGGAGAACGTTGTTGCTGGTTACCCAGACTAATGAGAGGGTACGGTAAAGTTTTTCTTAAATAAAATTTCAAGTTCGCTTATGAACACTTTCAATATATTTCCAGGTCGTTGCAGGGCAACCCACGAACAGATGATGACATTATTCGACTAAAGATAGTGAATGAAGAATGTTAAGGTAATTTTTTCATTTCATATCCTGACCAGATCTGTAACAAAAATATAGAAATTTCTTTTTGGCGCGGTTCGGTTTGGCGTGTGAACGATGTGGGCCCACTCGTTCCCTCCTGAACTACTCCATGCGACACGGCTCCCGAGATTCTTCTCAATACAGTACCTGCAGAAGAGCCTCTCCCGGGAAGACGTTCGTGACTTTCCTTGCCAAAACTGGACTGTACCTTCGCAATGCTAGTACAGTATTGGTGGGAACAGTTTCAATGCTCTCGTCTCGTAACGGCAAGATAGGTCCAAACTTACTTATTCGCTTTCAGCATTCACACCGTGGTTTTAAGTGAAACCACGATTGGTGCCCCTCACCAGAAGGGTTACAGTGGCGAAATATTCCTTGAGAAGTAGGACCACAAGAGTCAGAAACGACGATGCCAGAACAGAACGATAACAAGTGAAATGTATGAAGAACGTCGAACATCAACAATAACCAACTTAACATTGCGCACCTGACGCAGGTACCGAGGTTTGTCTGGAAGCGCAGGTAGAGACATAGTGTTGTGGGCCCTCCCAGCTCGAGGACATCACTAAAAGTAGTCGCTATGAGCGCTTTATAACGACACCCATTGAGAGAGAGTGCACTTCTATTCAGCACCCAATCGAAGCCCAACTGTAAACAATAGCATTCACTCTAAAAGTATATCCCACATATTTGTATATGAAAGGGGGGTTTCAAGCTATACATTTTCATGAACGAGAAATTACAGAGTTTTCTTACTGATTACATACAAGCAGGGATTTAAATCATCTACGTCTTCAAACCAGCATCCATGACTCACCAGTACGAGTGGCTAGCATTCTAGGCTTACCATTCAATATATATCCAGCTGTCCATGCGAAACAACGACGAATACAGTCATCGCACAGATAAAGGAGGCGACCACTGGCAAAATCAGGGCCCAAAATTGGTTAGGCCCACCCTAGGGAATCAGGGTTCCAGCCAGGGCTTACTTTATCAGACATTTTTGGTCTGAATTTCTGGATTCTGAACACATTTTTACTGGTTCATCTGATGTAGTAGACATGCTGTTTAATTTCGTCTGATTTTTAAGAGAAGCTTTTTCTATTCATCTGATTTCTCAGACAGCCTTATACAGTTCGTCTGAGACTGCAGATATCGAGTCTTTTTTGTCTGAAGGCAAAACTCTCGAAGGATGTATGCACCTGCCTAGCAGAAGAAAGAGACAAGATTCGGACCGGAAACCTCAATCTTCACAACACCCTATCCTACTGGCTGAACCATTAGGGCTGAGATGTGATTTCCCAATTTAATATTGATAATATTTTCTCAGAAATCTCAGACAAGTATTTAGGATTCGTCTGAAAAGCTAGACAATGTTACAACTTTTGTCTGACAGTCAGACAAAGAGCCAGGACCCGGTCTTGACATCAGACGGGTCATTTTACTAAAGTTACCTAGCCCTGGTTCCAGCCCCTCCTTACCCTGACCCGTAGGGTAAAATCTTCCGGACCCTGTTGGCAGCAGGATAAATCTATCAGTACACTGATTTGAGCATGGCATATCTACACTTAGCCTGTTTTCGCTGCTGTTTTTTCCTTTAAGTTGTTTCATAAATAAAAACAACATAGCACACAAAACACAATAACTTAGTGCCACGCCCATTGCCAACTACTTCTTCTCCAAACTCGGTATCGCTAGCCCTGTTGGCGTCAAACTGCTTGGTGGATCGTACGAGCTCCTCTCCACGGAAATTGGCGACCACCTCGTACCAGTCGAGATCGTATTGCAGCAGGGAGCAACGCATCAGGTGCTCTAGGCTTGTGTCGCCTAGGCTGCAGCGTCCCCAAGTCTTGATCAGGTTCTGCTTCAAGAAACCCCGCTCACATTCAACCGTGCTCAATGGCAGCACGGCGACTGACTGCCACATGCGCATGATGCTGGGGAAGGACACACGCCATGCATCGTCCCGCAGCATGTTCCCCAGCGCCTGATGAAACTCCTCGTTGTTGTGTTGGGAGAACATTGTGGATGTAAACATCAACGGTTCCTGTCCGGCCCTCTTGTAGTTGAACCCTGTTATGGGGCGGGGTCGGTGTGTA